CGTATCGTGACACTCATACTAATTTATCTGGTAAGCAAATCAGCCAATCGTTGAGGATCACCGAAAACGCAAGATTGTCACGTCAAAACTCTTGGCTGTGATTGGCCAATTTGCTTACTGCTCAAATTTTATCGTTTACGTTTTTCTACGTGTCATTTCAAGAGTTAGCAATAAAGGGAGGAGCCAAATTCATAAATTATTTTATATTTGGTGCCGATTGACGTCGTGTATTATTGTCCTTCATCTATTATCTATCTAGCAGAGATATACGTCAGAGATATACGTCACGCATATACATTGCAGAAGTCAAAGAAGAATAAAGCCATCTCTAATTGTGCGTTTTTTGGCAACACATGCTGCCAAGATGCGTGATCAACACACGTGTTTAAACGTGACAAAAACATCGTTGACAAGTGCACTGGCAATATTAACGTCAGTTACATACATTTTGTTTCCTGTCACTCGTCGGCAAATTTTAAAGGAGCATTGTCAATTGCATAAAGCATCAGCAAAATGTTTATTCATCTTGTTTATCGTTCTATTAATAATTTCATGTCATATTTATATATCTTCCGTTTCTTCCGAATTACGACATCGAACGCGAAACGTCCAAATTTTTTCAGGATATTATTTTATTTCGACGTCACGACTTATTTTGCATGACAACGCCGGACGCGGCGGTCGCGATTCGAAATTCGCTGCTCGTACGAGACTCGTGAATAGTGTGAATGAGCAGATTCGTCGAGTTCGTGTTCGTTGTTTACGATTCCGGTCGATTCGTCAGCAGACAGAAATCAAAGGGCGTGATTCGCCATGAACCATTCAATTTGCGTCGGCCGTATTATAGAGCCGCATTATATAACAATAATAAATCACAAATAAGGAAATAATACGAAGGGGGGGGGATTCGTACCGACAAAGGGGAATCTACTATGAAATCACGAATTAGGAATCACGGATCATAACTCCCGCAGATACAAATAAGAACGAGAGACAATCTCTCCTAGCGGATCAGATATATATAGTTCGCTTAGAATTTCATACATTTTTCATTATGGCGTATGGTTACGCCGAGGGGAAAAAAAAAGCAATTAATTAATTATGCGACTCACTGCGATAATTACTTGGTCGTGTAACTCATCATATGAGAAGGCGTAACGCCGCGTCTCGCCGCGTCAAAGCTGCTGAAGCCAGCGCGATGGCGATGGCGGCGAAGCGAGACGAAGCGAAACGAGGCGAGGCGATGGCCGTTAGGAGATGCGAATGTTTCATTCATAACGAAATTGCACGACGCGGTGCATGCGTACGACAACGACGAGCGTACTATCTACGTGCGTATGCGGAACATCAAGGCGGAACCACAACATGGATCGCGAGAATTGTTGATCCGGCATTATGTCGGACCGCCGGACCGTATTATAGTCTAAGCATAAAGAGGGCGGGGGGCGGGAGGGGGGGGAGCGGGAAAGAAAGAAAAAATCCGCCGAGAATTTTTAAAACTGAGATAAAGCTAAAGGGAAGAGACGATTAACACGCGCTACGTGTACGTTTAAATTTTGTACGCTATATTTAACGGTACTATCTTCCTTCATAACTTTAGCTCTTTTTGTTATCGCGATCGGCTTTTACTTTACCAAAAATAACAAATAATTGTTATCTCAGATATCCGCGTCCTAAGCAGCGGCGATTAGCGGATAACACGAAATACGCAAATAAAGATACGCATAAACGGACGGAATAAAGATACGCAAAAATTACGGACGACGCTACCGTACGACCGGATGCCTTAACGGCGCGCTCAGTTGTTCCTGTAATCACGAGGCCATTCCGCGACGCCACCGATTCACCGATTCTTCCCGTTTCCTTGCGAAGTACGAAGCGAGCGTTGAACCAAACGATTAATTATGTAAGCGAAAAGGTATGCCCCCGGGAGTACTGCCGAGAAATTTGACTCGTGAACGCAATCGAGCCGGACATGATTTAATGCGTCCGATTGTACATTTTTCGCTTGACACCTGGGTTCCGCTTTTAATAAAGTCGGGAATCAGCGAATTTCGCTTCTTCCGCAAAACGCCATCGATCGTATTTCGCAACGGTGAGAAATGTAACGTGGAAGCGCGTGAAGGCGCGCGAAGGCGAGCGAGAGAGCGAAAGGAGAGAGAGCGAGAGAGAGAG